AGAAGAGGGGACACATGTTGATGTAGAAGAGACATGGAGAAGAGGGGACACATGTTGATGTAGAAGAGACATGAAGAAGAGGGGACACATGTTGATGTAGAAGAGACATGAAGAAGTGGGTTTTGCATAATAGGTGACCTTTAAAATGTTGTTAATTTTGTCTCCAGTATAAATGATCCATCCACTCACCCGTCGTTGTTGATGTCGGTCGCTGCCACTGCGTATCCGAAGTAAGACCCCATCTGGAACGCATTACAAACAAGACCGAGTTAGCCTGTAATCACACCACGGTGCACAGATCCCTTTCTTTTTCTTTCATTTTCTTTCTCCGTGCCCTTTTTTCCTCTTTTGTACTCTCCTTCACCAGCCCCAGAAGCTTTCCTCTTCAATCTCTCAATCCCAAAATCCCCTGGGGTCTCCTCTTCTCTCCCTTTTCATGGAGCTCAGTGTTCGAGCTTCTGTAAGAGGAAGGGGGTCCTGGGATCAGGAATTCAAACCCCTTTAAAACTCACTCGGAGTAATACACATGAGCCTTGGGTTTTTCCGGTTACATTTCATACCATATGATAAATTAGGGTCCGGTTACATCCTTTAGTATTGTTTCAAAGTGATATGTACACAGAGATTGGAGACCCTTGTGAAAAATGAGACTAAATATCAGGGTTGTCTTCCTGCGCCACACATGCAGAACAGCTCGTATCCACATAAATCAAACTAATGATCTGGACAAAGTTCAGATTCATCGCGATATCCCGTAAGAAGCTTTGCCAGATAGATTTACACTCTTAATAATATGATCTCCGCTTCCTGTAGAGCTGAACCACTGAGATTGTTTACCTGAGCTGAAGTGATATCAGGGAGCCTAGAAATAACATGACATATATAGTAATAAGGAAGTAACTTACATTTCAGTAGTAAATAGTGGTTAAGCCCAACATTGACATATTACCTTTGGGTTGATATGGTGAACAAAGGTAGATGCAGATACAGACACAAAACTATGTATGTCCATTACCCCTTCCGCATTGTTTTAGTTGTTTTATTTTAGTATTATAAAAATATATCTTATGGCCACTTATAGTAGTTTTATCTAAAGAACTCTAGGAATAAATCACCTGTATCCTTTCCCTCAAGAAATGCTTTTTTTGGCTCTGTTGTTTAAGTTGAAGCATTTTTTTTTTTTTTTATAAATGTTTTTGGTTTCGTTAGTGTGGGCATGTGCGGGTGGAGGGAGGGAGGGGGGAGTGTAGTGAGTGTACTGTGATATTACAATATATGAAATGGCATCGATTATTGTACACTATAATGAAATAAAAAGACTTGTAAAAAAAAAAAAAATGCTGCATTTCTTCTGCATAGTGAAGCTTGGCTATACTCAATTAGACTTGCTTTTCCTTTTATATTTCCAAAAGTTGTGATAGTGCTTTCTAGGAACCATCTCAGTTGGGGTTCCAAGTAAGTTGAAATGTACATAAAATAAGTTGAAACTCTGCAGACCAGTATCAGCGAGGATTGTCACAAAAGCTAGACCTGCACAAAACCATCCTGTGCCGATCAAGCCAAGCTAACGTCAAACTGCAACCACAACTTTTTTTATCGCTTAATTCAAGTTCTCAAAATGGCAAGCCCCCAAAACTACGCTCTACGAAGACTTTCTGCTGTTTGGATACCAAGGATCCAGCGAGTCTTGCATTTAAGATTATCTTGCGGTAGTTTGAAACTGACGATCCTAAGGCTATGATTTGGTGGTACTGAGGGGGAACCACAACAAGAGGAAAACAAAACAGAGAAAGCATAAAATAAATGAATGTATAATTGTATAATATGATTAAATTGACATGCATTTTAACAAAGAACAAATTCAATACTTAAAATCAAGATACTCCTCATTGAAAATCATGAGCGATCAAAACTCCAAGCCAGTCCGACTTCTTCAACAATAATGGTCAGATACCTCTAGAGATATCAAGTGAAAAACTACTTTGGTAAAAACAGCATGGTCCCTGAGGCATGGCACATTGTTCTGTGATTTGGAAACACACATTTTTTTTGTAGGCCAATGACACTTGGCTGTACAGAAGAAATATTGTTTACTGGCTTAAAAGAATGACAAGATGTAAGGTTTCATTCACCAAACAACAGGGGCCTCTTTCACAAAGACCCTCTGGGGTGTTTTTTGCAGCTGACTACACAGAGAGCAGAGAGTCCATTAGTTTACCTCTGAACTCTCGCTATGACTTAACAGTTTACTCAGCGCTTTGAGACTGACACCTCTGAGCTGATGACCTCCCACACTGAACACACACATACCATGTATACATCACTTCAGGGGACATTACATTGACTTAGATGCATTTCCTGGAGACTTATTCTAACCTTAACCATAACCAACACATGCCTAACCCTAACCCTAAACCTAACCAAGTCTTCACCCTAAAATTAATGATTCCCCTCATGGGGACCTCCATTTTGTCCCCATAAGGGAGGTGAGTCCCCACACGTGACTACTGTATGTAAACAGATTTAGGTCCCCACAAGTATAGTAATGCTAGGCCACACACACACACACACACACGCACGCACGCACGCACGCACGCACGCACGCACGCACAAAAAACACGTGTTTTGTTCCCAATCAGAGGTCTCTTTGTCTCGTGTATACAGTCTCCTCTACAAGTAATATGCATAGAAACACTAAATTTTTTTTTTGAAAAATTTTTCGAAAAAGCGCATATCTGAAGTCTTACATGGTTTACTCGAATTTACACTCTGGATGTAGCGTTTTTTTCAGTGCTCACATCAAAAGTTTATTTTAAATTGGAATCCTTGAAAGGTGTGTAATTTGAGTTGATTTCATTTTGCCAAAGAACGTACTTGAACGTGTTTTATTTCCATTTTGCCAAAAGAACGTCCTTGAACGGTATCAATCCTGTTGTGATAATCCCAATAGAAATACCGTCACCCCTGTTATTTCAGTGTTCGAGGGTATTTATAGGATAGTTATTTTGTAGTGACTTCTGATAAGTTGTGTTCCGAATTTGAGTCCGAATACGTCTGACATATACTTACAGATAACTTTATTCAGATGATATTGTGTATCAAAAATCGATATGTTACAATTGATGAAGATAATTCACTTCGACAGTTTTGATTGAAACATTACGTCATTAACTAGGATAGATTTCTCAAACGATTGCAATTGGGGGGATGTCACAGTATGGGGCTGTGCTGTCTCCCCGAAACCCGGGGTGTAGGGGTGAGTCAAACAGCGACAGCCAGAGTATGCAAAAAAAATAGTCAAACACCATTTTGTAAATCGTGAAATCTAACATTTACCTTCACAAAAAGTCGGGTTCTATTACTTTTTCGTTACTCGCCACTAGTGTCTGGTCTCGACGATTTATTAGGTAATTGTCCAACTTCATTACATACGCTCACTACGTTACGTCAGTCCACAAAGTGAATTGGTTCGGAGCGGGAGAGAGCTCACGGTAGTACATTATTGGATGAGGAGACGTGAGCCTCACGGCAGAGCGAGACGTTGTCCATAGGGCTGACGATGGTTGATAAAATCGATTCGACGGACTCGTTTGTAGTGGTATTTGTCCACGTAATGTTAGTCGATGAGAACACAGCTCATACACAAGTGTGACATAGAACAACACACGCGTATTTGTCACTCGTACTTCTCTCTACTTCGCAGAAGACTGCCTCACGACTACGATTTGGTAGTCGTACAAATGAGAGTGCTAGTAAAACCGAAGTACAGGCGAGATCATGGGCTACCTATAAATGCCTATGTATATACACAGGTGGACGTATATTCGAATAAGGGTGAAGAGCACCAACACTCAAACATAGTAAATTAGTAGGATCCTCCCGCTTCGTGTTAGTGTGTCTTTGTGTGTGTGCTGGTCCTTACGTCCTCCTCTGTGTTGTGAGATTACGTGTGTTCGAACGTCAGTCTATGAAAATTATGTCCGTGCTCCACTATGTCTTCAGTGTACCTCTCTCACCACCGTTCTCGTGTTTGTGTGACCCGGAGCCGCTGAACCGACACTGGAGTCTTGTTACTCACACTGCTACACACGACATTAGATCGTGGAGTCCGTTAGTTAGTTGTTGACTCTCGTTTTGTGTGTGTGTGTGTGTGTGTGTGTGTGTGTGTGTGTGTGTGTGTGTGTGTGTGTGTGTTGTGTGGTGTGTGTGTGTTGTATGGTACATATGAGTGTGAAGTCCCTGTAATGTAACTGAATGTACGTAAAGTACCTCTGAACATAGGATTGGATTTGGTAATTGGTTCGTATACGGATTGGGATTGGGATTTGGAATTGAATTGGTGTCAGAAGTGGGATTTTACTTACTAAGGGGAGTACCCCTGGAGGTAGATACAGGGGTATTCCCTCCACTCAGGGTGTACACTGACACATTTCTCAAATTCCAGGGGTGTCTCATAGTCATTACGATCCGGTGTGTGTGTGTGTGTGTGTGTGTGTGTGTGTGTGTGTGTATTGTGTGTGTGTATGTGCGTCCGTCCGTGCTGTCTGTGTGTGTCTTGTGTCTGTCCTGTCATTGTACATCACTCCGTGGCCAGTGACCCTGGTGAGAGACAGACAGTGACGCGAAATACACTCTTGTCACACAGTAGGGATTGGTCCTAGGAGTTGTGGGTGGAACGACAAGAATTGGTTTCAGCCATGTCCCCACTCTACAGAACGCACGAAGAACCTTTCACAAGCTATTTGATGAAATCCTTTCTACTCGGCTAGTGTGACTGTACACGACATCGTCTCGATAAGTCGAGGGCGGCACTTTACCAGACTCGTGGCCGTATCCGATGACACTGTCCCGTCCACTGCCAGACAACGTCCGACGCCTTTACGAGTAGACATTATATAACAACTGATCAGGATGATACACCTAGAAACTCATTATCGGTTATATCGCCTCACAATGTATAAGAACTATAGTGGTACATCTGTTTCCTCAGATTCCGTATCCTCATGACCACTGGTGAAAGAGACAAAATCATCGAACTACTAATATAGACTCTCAATCTCCTGACGACATGCCTGTTTGTTCTTATCGTGCCTGAGTATGTACATATAGCTATGAGATACCCGGGTCACTAGGAGAGAGAGGGACAAAGGACAGACGTCTCCAGTCTCCGTGAAG